GGGTTTTAGAGGGGTATATATATATATTATATACTTGGAAAAAGTAAAAGTTATGATAAGTGTAGGTATATACAATACTTGACGGAAATGGTAATACATTCGCAATAATTACACACGAGACAGCACCGCACAATAGGTCAGAGAGGCCGATCCGAAGATGCAACTTTCGAGTAGCCGGATTTGATAGTCGTACACTTACCTATGTGTATGTGTACCATATAGCGATGCTGAAACGTAGACGGATTTCGTAGTTGCACAATCGCTGCTTCTTTCACTCTCTGTATGAGGAGGCTCCTCTCTATACGAGTATATGCATGTATCGGTACGTATAACACACGGAGGGTCGTGCTTCTCTATGTGTATATGTTATATACATCACGTTGTAACTTTTTGCCCGCGATGATGAGCAGAGAGTTCAGATAATACTGGTAACGTAGAGTTCGTGCAATATGTAAGCTTTTCTTTTGATGAATGTGCCGATAAGTGCGGTATTAGGACTCGGTTGTTCAACTGAATTTTCATTGCTATTATTTTATTGGTGTTTAATGTAATGTATCAACTATTCGAACGAAGGATTGGAAATCAACCGATTTTCGTTTATGCAATTTTGTTGTACCAAATACCACGGCGAGTATATGGAATTTTTCCAAAGTTTTACAAAAAAACATCGCAATTTAATCGCTATTGTAAATACATCTTCCGCAACTTTGTCATTACAGCATATGTCAACAAATTAATAATCGGCGAATCTCCAACGATGAACAAAAGAGATAGTATCGTACTTGATCCTCCTCTCCACTGAAAGCTTATCCTACCCATATTGTAGCAATTTATCCCCATATAAGTACACGTGTAGGTACATATTATTATGTATATATATACAATAACATTAATTTAGAGTCACCATTGAAACCTGATAGTTTATATCTCATGTCAAAAGCAACTTTTGAATTTTACATAATTACAATACATTAGAGCTCAACCAAGAGATCACCTATTGAAACTTACGACCACAATATTTCTCAAAGTTCACCTTTACGTACGACATGGTCTCTTCTCTCTTGTACGCGTGCAATTATGCATACATGTACCTACATTTGTATTAATGTGTAAAGAGAAAGACTGTATGCGGCAGTAACATGTAACACTCGGTTACCGGCACTCTCCGCAATGCGTATACGTATAAAACAGAGCCACATTAAAATAATCCCGCACGCAAGTAGCTTTGCGCAAAAGTATCTAGTTTATCCCGCGAGCAGTGCCTTTTCGTATTTATACAAAGCCTTTCTTTGCTCGTTTATCAAAGTAATGAAAAAAAAAAAAAAAAGAGACTGCCATCACCAGTGCTACCGGGACTCTCTCTTTTGCACCCTCCCCCTCCCAACTCTCTCGCACCTTATAAAAAGCTGGCACGCGCTCCAGATATGTATATATAAATGTCTATATGTATATGTACGCTTTTATATAAAGGTAAACCATAAATGATGTGACCTGCTCTCTCGCTCGGATTTTCGTAATCCCTCTGCTCTCTCGTCTTCGATAAAAGCTTTCCAGGGTTTTAACGTTACGCAATCACACCACGTGACTTTAACGGCTCCCCTTGACTGATTATTATATATACAAAGTACCAAAGTATATACGAAATCTCGCGACAATGATTTTCAGTACTCCGCAAAAATACGTGCGGTGGAGATGGGAAAAAGGCGCGAGACTCACCCGTGCCTGACATTAGGCCGTCCCTGAAGAGCAAGTACTCGACGGCAGTGGCCCAATTGAGTGGAGTCGTGTCGGTGTCGTTGATGGTGAACGCGATAGCGTAGGCCGCGTGGTTCTGCAGGTTCCTACCGACCCCCGGAAGGTCGTGGACCACCGGGACTCCGACGGTCTCCAGATCCTCGCGTGGCCCCACCCCGCTGTTGAGCAATATTTGGGGCGAGTTCACTGCACCTGTGGGAACATATTGTTTTTCAGCCTATACATGTCATGCTCACTTTTACCCTCGAGCCACACATTTCGTTGAAAAAAATCGATAGGCATCGACAATCGGTCCATCACTTGATCAGCCGAGTGCCGAGAACCACTCGCAACTTTAAATTACCTCCCAAAGTGAAAGATACCAAAGTCCCGAATGATAATAATAATAATAATAATAATAATAATAATAATAATAATAATAATAATAATAATAATAATAATAATAATAATAATGATAATAATACGATCCTCGTTAACAGTCGTAAAATCTCCCCCGAGGGAAAGAAAGTATAGCTGAAGCGCAACTTCAGTCAAGGAGAATGAAAAGCGAACAAACCTCCACTGACGATGACCTCCTTGTTTACGGCGACCCTGTGCACTTCGCCCAGGTGAACGAACTCGACGCCGACGACTTTTTTGCTGCGGTCAAACAGTACCCTCGTGGCCGTGGAGTTGAGCATTATGTGGAGATTTCGCCTGTTGCGCGCCGGCCTCAGGAACGCCCGGGCGGTCGAGAGCCGCGAGCCGTTGCGCGACGTAGTCTGGGCTATCATGAATCCCGTGTGCGTCCTGCCGTTGAGGTCGACCGACGGGTAGCCTGTTTGTCGTTTACCGCCGTTACAATAGATAAACAAACATCAAGGATTGGGAGATAAAAAACCCTTTTTCTTTCATGCACACGTGTACATTGGGCACCATAAACATAATCGGGGAAACTAATCGAATGATTAAAAATGATTTTGCAAGCGAGAACGTGTATATAATATATGCAAGGACGCGAGGATTCACTTAATACAGGGTTGCATCGCAATCGCACCCTCTGACAAAATAAAGTGCCACACAGCTCGGAAGAAATGAAAAATCTCGTTAAAAGTAAAACAACACAGAGATAAAACATTCGTTGGATACTCGTAACATCTTGATTATTATAATTATACTCTCCGAGCTCGTATCCATCAAGTACAATGTAAAATGAACGATATTGTTGCAGTATGAATGCAGCGTTATAACTGGGGGGAAAAAAAAAAAAAAAAGCTTGGTTCATAGCCCAAAAGATGTTCTCATTACGGGCAAGAGGAAAAAAAAAAAAAAAAGAAACGAGGAAGAACAAACAAAGAAAGTAGGAAGCGCTGGAAGGGGGAGAGGCGAATGAGAACGACCGCGTTATCGCTCCGGCGCGCCTGGTGTTCACAGCCCGACTAATTGCAGGACGCACAGGCGCCATTATCATAATTAGAATCGACCGTATTTGCGTGGATATGTATATTGCAGTAAAAAAACTTTTTAGAACTATCGGCAATATAGTTTTGTTTTTGTTAACCACATCTCCATTCTCGCGAACAAAGGCAAAATCGTGATGCGTATAGCTCGACTCACCCATTTCCTTGCCGGCCTGAAGGAGCGCGTGGCTGAGGGGCGGGTGGTACGGGAACTGGGTGACGGTGAGTGGGCCGCCGACCCCGTGATACCCGTAATCCATGTCGTTCACTTGAACGTTGTCCTCGCTTTTGATGAAGTACGGCAAGACGTCCTCGTACGACCAGCCGGGGTTGCCCAGTAGCGCCCAATCGTCGTAATCCTTGCGGGAGCCCCTCATGTACGTCATGCCGTTCATTACCGAGGTCCCGCCCAATACCTGATCACGACCATCATCATGCAATTGTCATCGCACATGTGTATATATATATATATATATACATAAATTACATACGTCATGGTTCACTTGGTTTCACGCAAGTGCGCACTACTATACTGATTTGCACGCGATGACGTTGCAGTTTGCTCGTGTACATTGGGTGGAGGGTAGACCCTCGCATGTTTGCAGATTAGAGGGTAAAGGAAGGCAAATTCTTTACGAAATGTGCTTTGCGGTGGAAGGGGCGAGGGGGGATGTTTTATAAGCTACTTATACTCGAATTCCACGCTCTGCGGTACACATTAGCTTCGGAGCGAGATGAAGTCCACGTAATTTCCGATGAATGGGAATTTCGGATCTATCGAATCGGCTCCCGAGCAACCCGATGCTGATTTGTTGTTTGGCTCAAACTACACGAAGCAACGCGGGGAACGACGGAATATTTTCTTTTTTTTTGTTTACGTAGCGTTTGGAGAAATGTTATTTTTAAAAGTTAGATGAAGATATAACTCGCGAGTTTTTTGTTCGTGTATCTACGGACCAGTGGTTGTAATCGAGGGTGAGAAAATCTAAAAAAATCGGTTTAAAGCTCAACAGTATGGACTTTATCCTTTTTGTGCACCCAAAATTTGTTGCAGATAGTCGATTGACGTGAAAAAAAAAATAAATAAATAAATAAAAAAAAAGAGGAAGAAGAAAAAAAACATACCTTTCCCCGTGGCCAGTAGCACTTGCGATCCTCCTTATTCAGACAGGCCTCGTCCTCGCTCTCCGTCGAGTACTTCCAGTCGATGCTCGAGCCGAGGAAATTGAAGAAAAACGATGGTATCTGGGTGCCGGTGGGCTCGTCGAGTCCAGCCTCTATCAACAGTACCGTGAATCGATTGTCCTCTGACAAGCGCGAGGCCACAGTCGCCCCGGCGCTTCCGCCTCCTATCACCACAAAGTCGTATCTGCACGCGATACACGTACATTTATGTCAAAGCAAAAAAAGACAACCAAACTTGATCATTTTCAGTAGCACCTGTGTTTTTGACATCAGGCAAGCGCGTGAATTTATTTTTTATTTTTTTTTATTTCATCCGTCACCCTCTCACGAAACGCAAAAGGGAGGATTTTACGTTAATTCACTCTCGTCCCCGTAATTTTGGGATCCCCGATAATTAAATCCGAAAAGCCCGAGCTCGGAAAATCAAAAGTGTCCTCTCCGACCCGCCCTCCGTTGCAGTGCAGAACCAAATTAATGCCCAGAGTAGGTATATGTGCGTATATGCACTCTGGCGAGCGACAACGAACGCGGACGCGATAAATACGCATTAATAATGCGGCAGCTCCCACTGGGGACGAGGTTTTTTTTTTTTTTTATACACAGGGGGTATAGAGAGCGAATTGGCCAGTATAGTTCGCCGCGGGCACTGCGGTCGCGTTCGGTCGTGCACACATATACATGTTATCAGGGCCTATAGGTCAAAGTCTCTGAAAATTGACTTTTGCATGGCATACGCTACCCATACCCTCGATTTAATTGTCATCCCGGAAAGATATGACACTGCAAGTAGAAAAATTATCAATTTTTCATCGAAATTATAGTCCTACCATTTTTTAGCTCGAAATAAGCTTTGTGACGAGGTTGAACACGTCCAACTTTTTATGGTAAACATAAAAGCTCAACCGAAAGCTCCCGGGAGTAATTTATCTGATTTTCTGTAAAGCTAAGTGACAAGAAACGCGATTTTTCGTAGATTACCACGTATACACGTATATATGCAAATATAAATGAAACGATGTTATCGTCGAACGAATTAACGGGCAATGCCTCTCCGTACGGACCCAATTACTTGTCCCGTGAATAAATACCGAGACACACACGTATATGTATGTACCTACTTGTGCCGGTGGGTGTTTGCGAGTGAATTTGTGGTCACTACAAGTTCGTACTAAAATTAATAATCGACGGACAGTGTTTTTTCTCATGAGACTTTTGTTCCATCTTTTTTAATTTTTTTTAAATAATAAAATCACAGGGACAACAATACAAGGTGCAGTGTAATCGTCAGCGCGAAAAAAAAATAGAAAGTCCTAGCGTCAGTCGGGAATCGGCTCTGCGATACCGATCGTCTGTGAAATGAGCGTAACCTTTTTTTTGTTGTTTCCTCGGCTTCTCTCGCGTAACCGTGATATAATCAGATCCCTTCCGGACACGCGTACAGTGTGAGTCGTTGCGAAACTTTTCCAGAACTTGTATATGGGTGTACTCTGCTCTTGGGGTTTTACATCAGCATGTTGATCTTTGTGTAAAATAGTTTGACCCACATTGAATCTACTTTTGGCGGAATTGAAGTGGATTGCATGTACCATGTGCATGTGAGTGTGTGTGCGTGTGTGATTTTACTCTCAAGGCCGTTACGTACTGGTGATGGGTTTTTCTATATTGTATATTTTATTTACAATTGTGGGTGGGTTTACCGAAAGTGGGTTTCGCTGATTTCAATTTTGATAATGTATTTTCAAGGTATTCAGATTTTGAGAGAAAGTATTTATGAAAACGTTACAACCGAACAATTGGATATTGCATTGTTGTGCTTGATGAGTGCATATCGAAATCCCCTCGAGCAGAAATGTTGACATTTTTTAATAACGTCAATCAATAGATTATGTACGAATGCATAATCGAATTCAGTCTCCGATCCCTTGAATCACGTGCGTATGGCCGAAATAAAAAAAATAAAAATTAGGAAAACAGGCTACGTATTGTACGTTACAGCCATAGGTCCTTTTTTTCCCTCTATCATAAAAGCCAATCGCATATCTATCCGTACAAACGCACACACACACACACACTGGTCTATCGAGTCTACATGCGACCGAAAAGGACAATTAACCACGGCATGCGTGTGCATTGGAAAAAAAAAAAGCTTGAGCATCCAGATCTAAATCAAAGGCTTTGCCCCGTGTGCTATCTAAATTGCATCTCGAAAGCTCTGTATAGCTGTTCAACCCCAAAAACGGCAAAGCACAAATCATCTCCCTGCCGAGATCTGGGAATATATACACATACATGTACGTGCAGTAACAAATTCAGTCGGGACGCGTAAATCACCGAAAAGCCTCACTCGAGCTGCCGCACCTCCCATCCTTTGCGTATCCTCTTTTGCCCTACGCTATACGCACGTGCCTCTGCGTGTACACACTCGTGACCAGAATATACATATACACACACACACACAATCACGTAGGATATGGGTTTTAGAGGGGTGTACCATATTCTACCGTATAAGGGTGACTGTACAGAGGTGCAGTGCCCTATGTAGTTAACAGAGGGATGCTTGGGAGTTCAATAAATCCGACGATCGGGGGAATAGTCGCGCATTAGCCTACGCGTATGTATATGACACTGTCTCTCTCTCTCTCTCTCTCTCTCTCTCTCTCTCTCTCTCTCTTTTCCGGTCACTCTCTCACACTCGATTCCGATGTGTGTGCATATATACACATATAGGTATATGGACGGCCAAGTGTACTGTACCACACACGTGCACACGGATAAGTATTATCTCAGGATGGGCAGGAGAAACAGTATCGTCGTAATGTGTGGCTTAACGGGGTTAACTGCACGTTATATCGCCACACCATGCTGTAAATATAGCTGTGTAAGGATGGCATCGTGTACGAATGATTTCACAAATGGATGCCCCGGGATGAAAAACGTACCAGTTTCAGAATTTTCCATCTGAAATGACATTGAAAAATTTTAAGGGACCATTTAAAAAAAAAAATGGCTCTCATCGTCATCATCATCGACTTTTTAAGCCGATGATCATACATTTTACTCATATTCATTACCCTATGTATGTATTTTGATTTTCACAACGAAATAGGACTATGGTTCTTGAGTGATGTGAAAAAACCTCGTTTTAACAGCCACAAAAAGTGCAATTATCCGGGAAATCGCTTTTACATAAGCAAACCTGCACACAACATAGAAAGGTGTCATTTTCACATGCATCCTCTTTTTCTCTCTCTCTCTCTCTCTCTCTCTTGTCTCGTGACAGGCATCAGTAAATACCCTTATCGCACTAAGGCGTACTCTCGGTTGAAGTCATGCGGACGAAAGTTACACACGTAAAAGTAAATACACTCGGTTTGACGTGAGGTAAGGTGCAAAGAGAGAGAAAAAAAAATCACTTTCCAACATCATATTATGTACCATATCAAGCACTTTTCCCACTATAACGAGTTCGCGCGAAGAGCTTGTACTATTGCGCACTCGGGACTTACATCCATACGAGAACATTGTTACCAAGACTTATCAGTTTGCTCTCTCTTATACCCGCATAAGTGTGCCAATCTAACGCTCCGAGTAATTGAGCTGGGGTTATTTGTACGTACCTGGCTCACCGTCACCAAAAATTAACTTTATAACTTGCATTCGTGACGCGTGAAATCTCTAACGTTACAGCTGTGGTGGCTCTGATACCTTAACATAGTATGGCAATATCAAGAGCAAGAGCTGTCAAGACAATTATTATTATTATTATTATTATTTTTTTTTTTGAAAATTTACTCGCGCCTGCAAACATTTAGAACGATGAGACTACAACATGGAAACAACTATTGGTAAATCTGTGTAACGGTTAACTCGTAAAAAACAGTAAAAGTCCTTGAAATGGATGCTTGATTTTCCATAATTGTCATGTATTTTCTCCTTCCTTGTTTTTCCATCGCGTAAACAGCAAACGTCACAATGTACTTTTATGCTTCTCTTTTCTCACCTCACGCCAACAACACTTCTAAAAGCTTTGAAATTTCATTTCTCTCGCACACTGTGGTGCAGCGAATTTACATGTGTCTTCTTTGCTTCCTGGTACACCGTGTAGACTCGGCACACGAGCCCATGAGGAAAAAAGGTCCAACCGACACGTACGATTGTACATCCAAGCTCACACATACACACTTACGCGTACAGAAAGACGTTGGAAGTTGAAAAAAAAAAATCCCGAAAAATTACTCCCCCGAAGGCGTGGATGCTTCTACTACTGCCTGACGTGTATGTCTCGTAAATTCATAGTCACGCGTCCTTTCTCACATTTACCGCGCGAGGGCGCGTGTGTGTGTGTTGTATGTATGGCTTGCATGCGCATAAACATATTCTTCTCTGTTGGAGAATTTTGGGCGAGTGCCGAGTGCCATGGATTATTTATGAGGGACGACGCTGTTTCTCCACGTACATTGCACATACATACACAGATCTCACATGCTGAGCAGCTCCGGTAGAGAGAAAGTACGTAGGTACGACGAGCGTGTGTAATGTTATTTTATACGTGCAGCTATTTCAACACTTATACGAGGTAACAGTTGAGTCGAGGTGCCATTCGTACCATATAGGAGGAGAAGAGTTGAGCGAACTGTTTATGGAGATTTTGGTGCGTTGTTTTACTTGTTTATTTTTATTTTTTTTTTTTTTGGGACTCACGATGCGTATTTATCGAAAGCTCGACACAAGTTGAAAAGTTAGAAGAAAAGGGAGCGATCCGGTGAGAGGAGGAGTCGATAATCATACAACAAACCAACACCGAGTTGGGTATAGGTGCACGATGGGACAAAGGTGTACAACGAACCTCGTGTTGACGCGTTTTTGCGGTATGGGCCGATTGCAGGGGTCCTCGAGGTCGCACTGGCTCCGGAGGAACACCTCGAGCAGACCCATGAACAGCATGAAGGAGGCTCCGCCGCAGGTCGACGCCAGCGTCGGACCGATGGCCGAGGTCAGCGGGCAGTTGCAGCTCATCTGGAAAAAGTCACATTTTCTTGTCACGCGCGTCGAATTGGTGCTAAATACAATTTAAAAAATCTCAACAAAACTACAACCTCTGATATTCCTCAAGATTGCATATTATCAAGTACTCTTTTTTTTTTTTTTTTTTTTTTTGTACAATCACCTGCATGGGAATAATGGTACTTTTGTGTCAATTATTATTTAAACAAAAATAAAGATTGTACCCGTTACCTCGACCTTTCTCTATGAAATCTACGATGCGCGTACTGTCTCGCGTTTGCCGTGACGAGATATATACTCTCGCTCGTCTTGTGGGCGGCATGAAAACACAATACAGCCCGTACGAGCTTCAACAACACCGTCGATCGATTTTCATTGTCGAGGGATGCAAAAAAAAAAAAAAAATAAATAAATAAATAAATAAATAATTTACCCGATGAAAACAACATTCTGTGCTCCAAAAATAATCATACCCTGGAACATCGATCCCTCATTAAACTTTCAATGCACCAACCCGCGACAATACAGACAGTAGTACAATAAAATAAAACGTTTCAACGGCGTACACTATAACGCATCGTACGAATATTCAACGACTACCAGATCGTCTCACGCATCGAAGACCCCAAATAAATTTTTCTGCATCGTACACCCTCGTTCACGTAATCCCCGTCAGTCCCGAAACCCAAACTACAGCCGCGTAAAAACAACAGCCCGGAAAATACAGATGGACGAGAAGGAAAAAAAAAAAAAAAATGAAACCAAACTCTTGTTTCCGCTTCGTGCTCCCTGTGCAACGTGTATATATGCCGATAGTCCAGCTGTACATGCCATGTACACGTAACAGCCGGCTGGCACGTAATACCCCGCGTGCCGGAACACGTGAAAAAAAAGGCAATCGAGATCCGTGTAATTCCACAGCTCCGCTTTGCAGATCGAGATTTCACGGGTTTCGTAGTCATCCTCTTTCATTGTATATATATATCTGTACGCACACAGCAAGTGACGCGTGCCAGAGAAGGTTACTTTTGGTTAACGAGACAGGGGCGTGTCGGGCTGTTTAAGAAAGGGAGGGGGGGAGAGGGCTTTTTTGCAGTAGAGCGTCTATGGATTCGTGAAAGTTGATATTTAATGACTCGCCTGAGCGGCAATTAAGATCATTAGGGTAGACCAGGCTGTTTTATTGCTGCTTCCATTTTTCCTATTTGTTTGTTTGTTTGTTTTTTTTTTTTTTTTTTTTTNCGTACAAATATATTCACATTTACGAACTGTAAGACTTAAAAGTATATATTCAATAAGTGTAAGGTTTTTTTTCAAGGGGTACGGAGGACTTTGTAAATAATTGGTTTGGCATCGATCGAGTTGGTGGTTATTTGAAGCTTTAGTTTCCCATTCCGATGATTGGCCAAGAACAGAAAATTGTCTCTGCTGGTACACGGCGAGCCATACTGACTACATCGACCACCGCGTCCTGGTTCTTCCATCAGACGGGAAATCTGCATTTTTATCCGGGAGTGCTGTTTCCTATACGTGCACTCCGTTGAATATATATATGTACGCGAAACAAAAGAGACGACAGCGAAAGAGAGCCGAGCATCGATTGCATCTGTAGCCGAGGGCATCTTCTTTGACCCGAGATGAAACCTTCACTTTCAGCCAGTGGTGCGCGCGGCATGGCTTACGGACGACACTGTAGATGTGCGCGCGGGAGAGTAAAAAACAAATAAAAGGAAACAAAAAAATTAAGGTTTCACCTCTGAACTGGCGGGAAAGTTTAGGAGAAAGTCGGTTTGGTCTGTCAAAAAATGTCTATTGATGTACGTGGGGAGCCCGCGGGTGTGTTCGCGGCCGAGATTTTTCATACTTACACTCGAGCTGATGCAACGACACCGCACTATGTTTTAGTTTTATTTTCGACCGTCAAAGAGTCGTCGGAATATTTTTTTTGTACGCTCAATTTTTCACGGCAATTTGTATGAACCGGATAAAATTTTAAACTTCACTCATTGGGTGACGAAAGAAAAAAAATACTGAGTTTTTAAAAAATCCTTCGGAAATCTACAAACGCCAAGTGGAATCGTTTTTTTTTTTTTTTTTTCGTTGCTACTGTACACCACACAAAATCTGTGATATCTGTGGCCGCAGTATTAGATAGATTTATATTTTGGAAAACATGGAATTTTGAAAATAATCGTTTAGACAAAAAAACATTTAATAAGGCTGATTTCTTTTTCAAATGTAACACAAGGTATTAATTATTTTTTCATCCATTTTTTTACTAACATTATGTAGTTGAGAGCATTACCTTTTTTTCCAGAAATTAAATAATAAAGAAAATATTACATGTGATTTATTATTCAAAAATATTACATAAATCATATATCTACTCGTTTTCCCGAAACAGCCAATAAACCCGAAATGTTTTTTAATCAAGTAAAATACACTTTTTTCATTTTCAGTAAAATATTGACAATATTCCGTTTTAAAAACAAATTGTAATCGTTATTTACAACACCGAATGTTTTAAAACATACTTTTTTTTTGGTAATCACAACATCCATAATATATATTACGAATAAAATGTACAACTGTACTATATCATGGTCGTAGCTCTGTACCTTAGTCCTCAAATTTTCATTTTCAATGGCCAAAAAAAGTTTAGGGAAAATGCCATCGAAACAAAGCTAGTCAGCGCAATGAAACAGTAAAGAGAACGACGCTACACCAGTAAAACAGGAAAACAAAAAATTAACTCCAGCACTATCCATATACATATGCCTATAGTTTCAATCGTCTTCTTCACGTGTACAAGTAGGGATATATAATTTTCTCTTTCTTTTTTCCGAGGCAGACTTTGTCTCGTACCCCATTTTCCCATACCCAATACACATCGCATCTTACGCCGCTGTGGGACTGGTGTAACATTTTTACGAGGTGCCTTTCCAACTTCCAATACACGCGCGCGCGCGCGAGAGAAAAAAAAAGAAAGAGGAAAAACGCGCGTGGTACCTGCGAGCGTCGCGCATTGTTTTGCCAGAGTATCCGGTCTCTTTCTTTTTCACGCCACGCGTGTGCATTGCATATTTACTCGCTATACCGCACTGGAGCGGCTATAGGTTTCAAAACGTTACTTTTCGCGGATGCGGAACTCTTTTGTTCCGAGAATGGGTTTATGATAATTTTTCGGGTGACATTGTTCCTACGGATCCTTTTTCGGACCAAGGAAAAATGCCTTCTGCCGTTGAATCACTCTCTTACGTATTTACTACAGCGTAATACTTTTTTTTTTTTTCACACACGCATTTGGTCAGACTTATCGGTCGTCTTACCATACACGACTGTTTCTACTGACACATAATATCCCCAGTACAACGACATCCGTCGGGCGATTGAGCGTACGGGAGATGAATTGTTACAAAGAAATTGGTTTTTTATTTTTTGCAGCTGCATTTTAACAACATTATCATTACATTTTATCACAAAATATTGCAATTGGTGGTTTTTTTATTGCATTATGTAATTCGTGCCAAGATACACCATAACGCGGCAAAAACAATAAAATAATTCGTATTCCCTGTGAAAACGAAATTTCAGTCGACTACGGGGAAGTGCGTGCTCGATAGCATCTGTTCACCATGTGCCATTGTATGCCTTTATTTTTATTCCACATAGTTTGTAGCCGCGAAAAATAATAACAGCGCGTTCCTTCACGTGTGATCCTTTTTTTCGCGGCACATCGTACGATTCGCGTGGTTTTTTAATTTATCAAATTGCTTCGTTTTATAGGAAAACTGTGTTAGTTGTGTGAACACAAATATCATTGCATCTGTTCGAGCAGTATTCAATACAAAAATGGCAAGTTGTAAGACTAATTTTCCTACTAAATTGGTCAAAAAAATACCGTTAATCGCTACGATTTCAAACGGCCACACTTTTACTAGTTGGCACGTGGAGCAAAAAAAAAAGCTTTACACAATATACGTAAATATAAGAATTTCAAAAGTAAAAGCCACAGTCGTCTAATTGCAAAGTAATAGCCTCTCAAAATCGTACGCGTACATTAAATTAAAAGTTTTTCATCTCAATTCCACCGTTTTTTGTCTCCCGTAAAAATGCACTGTCCTGCTGTACATTAATTGTTCGAAAGTTAGACCTACGTGCCTGTTTCTAGAAGAGCACATTCACGCTGCACTCTGCGTTACAGGTATATAATTATTACACACGCGAGTATGGGCGTTTGACAAAGTTTCGACCGAGAGCTGACGCGATGGCTAATTAAAACTTTGTCTTTTATCGCCACTCGCGCCCCCGTTTCATAAAGTTGACTAAATCCAACAAAGGGGTGGCTCACGGATCGTCAGATTTCTCAGAATCGATGCCACCAAGGGAATTTTCCCCTCGGTATATTCCACACCTTGACGAGATGCAGCGAGAGAAATTGTACTTCGGACAAATGTGTACTCGACTGACGTGCGACAAATGGATTTTAGGGACGGAATATCTGACATGGGTGACGTGTGTATCTTTGTATTGCAGATTGGTACCTTTCAGAGCTTAAACAATAAAAATAATCGACAATTAATTTCCACGCTCCCTTTCCACCCGTGTATATATACATACACGAGCATTATTCAGCGATTTATTTTGCCCCGAGGACAATTTTTCCACCCTCGTAGTTACATTTGCATACTGTCGCGAGCTCAACGAATGGAAAGGAATAAAATTGGAAGCAAGAGTTCTCGAGGCTGCGGGTCAAGAGGCTATTTACCCGCTCCGTTGTTTTTCATTCCTTTCCGCCGCACTTGAAACTCTGTGGGTGCATTGTACGTGCGCGCAGCGCGGGGCCATTAAATCGGATCGGCCCTGCTTTCCTTTAATTTACATTCGGAGAAATGGAAATTGAAGCGGCGCTTTGACGCGTTTCGCAAATAAAGCGAATCTATATATACGCTCGCGGGGGAGAGCGTATAGATATGCACGTAAGAGTCGATGTTTATCATCGTATACCTTATCCGTGGAACAAACGGCGTTTCGCTTCGTATTTCAATCGCGAGTTCTCGTAGCAAAGCTGGAGTCCGTCCGATTCGGAATTCATCTGCAAATCGGAACAAGATTTTTCTCGCGTTTTTTCGTTGTTACAATTATTTATGCTCGACATTGGTACTTGAGTGATTTTACTTTATCATCAATAATTTGCATCACTTTTCCTTTGTTCATACATGACCTTTAGTTTTAAGGCTGCAAGGCTACAAGTATTTGCACAAATTATGTTAAACGTATATTTCGAATCCAACAGCGACAGTGAAACTTGTTGCATTTGAATGTACCTGTCAAAATAGGAATAAAAATAAGTTTTTCAAGAAAGTACTCGAGTTACACTCCGAGGTAAATAGGACGTTGTCAAAGTTTCCTGATAAAAAATACATATAGCCTGCAAGTGCTGTACTGCAACAACTAATTAAAATGCAGGAAGGAACTTGCCAGGCCTTTGATGACACGTCGCACGAATATGGGTACAGGTACATAATGCGAGATACTCGGTTATCGAGGCATCCTTCAAAGTAACTTCCGTTCAAAGCGCCGTAGGTATACACATACCGCGAGAACTCTCCTGTCGAGGACAAATTGACGCAAAGCTTCTGTGATTACACGTGTACCTACACACCGTGAAATTAACGCTTCCCTTTCGCGTGCGGTTATCGAATGAATATTACCAAATAGCCAACGTACCAATTTAAACACAACGTTATTCGTCTTTAAATAATCGTCTAATATATGTGTAATAAATGTGTGCATGCAGATTTTTTAATTTCCGAGGAAAAGCCATGTAAACCACCTCTTGCATTTCTATGACTAGGGCTGCTTTTCTTAAAGCTGCTTTTCAACATTTCACGGCTCCAGCATCGCTTGAGAAGCAAAACTCAAACGCATGTACACTTGTGCATATTAAACCACCATTGAAAAGTAACTTTACCGCTGTACTTAATCCTAATTAAGGAAATAGCATGGCTCTTAAAAAAAAAGAGAGAAAAAAAATAGAAATTAGAACGAAAAGCTCGTCGCTCGCACGAAAGCTCCGTGTTGAACAAACAACGCGCTTACTTCGCCGGCCCTATACTCATGTATGGACCGCCACGTCTCTCTTATTCTCTCGAGAAGAATAAACCGTGGAGCAGAGTAAATGGGGGGGGGGGGGGCGTAAATCGCGCCTCATTACCACCCGCATATACATGACTACGAGGTTAGAGCCACAAGTACAAATGTATGAGAGCTTGCGGGCGACGGAAAAAAGAGCCAAGTGATAAAAAGAGAAAACGGGAGTTGGTTGCTCTGCCTGGCTGGTTCTTTGCTCGTGACGACCCACCGGATAATGAGCGCGCCGTCGTCCGTCGACCTGATAGCTGTCTCTCTCTCTTTTTTTTAAATTTTCTCCCCGGAAGAGACACATTTTTTGGGTAGTCTTTTGTGCAATCAGATATTGTAGGGAGGCTTATCACTTCTGGAATGATTTAATTTTTCCGCGTCGTTTTAATCACGAAAAATTTGAGCTGTAAGAGTTACAAGATTGTCTGGACAATGATACTTTTTCGCCTGACATGGTTCCTCGAGAGCCAGTGAGCTTATGCAGCCAAGAAAAATTGCAGAACAATGGGAGTGTCTACCCCTCCGCAGTACGGAGTGTCCCTAAATTTTTGAGCCGGTACGCTGATAATAGTAAATTATCCAGCTAGTTCTTGGAGAAGTGGAACCGTAGCTACTCGAAAAGTAAGATGATGCCCAATTGGCAAAGACTTGCTGTTATTCTCATACGGTCGTTTGTACTAAAAATTGTAACAAAAACTTGCAATAACGTTCTAACTTATAAGTTAAAAAAAAAAAAAAAAAAAACAATTCTAATGAAGTTCCAGTAGGCGATTCGAGAACTACAATTCAATCAGTAGTTCGCAACCTTAGCCACGTAATTAGCACCGTTCAAGGGATTCTAGCAAAGGTGTGGAGAAAGTAATAAGCGTCAAAAGATTCGAGGATGTACACCGTGGTACACGATGCATCGGTGGCGAAGTAAAAGAAAAAAAATGATGATAAGCAAAAAAAAAAAGTGAAAGAGTATAAAGTACAAAAAAAACTTGAATGAATAACACTTGAAATACAGAGTTAATTATATCATACATAAGTGCACCATCGTGTAGTGCAAAAGGCATTGCTTTACATTCTTACAAATGTTAACATGTAAGATATGAATANAGCGTAAGAAATTATTGAACGAAATAAGGCCATTTCGTGCTCCAGTGTCAAAGAGCGTGGGGGACTCTACACCGTAAAATATGAAAACACGTACACGTGTGGGGGGGGGGGGGAGGGGTGATTCGTGTTTACAATGCCGAGGCGGCTCGTTCGTGATTCTCATGGGAAAACGTACAATGAGCTATCGTTGCCCGCACATCTATACACACACACACACGCTTTCATATATATCATACATAAGTGCACCATCGTGTAGTGCAAAAGGCATTGCTTTACATTCTTACAAATGTTAACATGTAAGATATGAATACGGGTTTTTAAAAAAAAAGCTATACCTATAAATTAATTTTAAAAAATCCCTAACAATTAATGAAATGAAAAAAAAATGCAAAATTCCTGGTGTGTGAAGATTCAAACAATGTTAACGAAAGCATATAATATTCAGAATAAAATTAAGAAAGTTTAGTCTCATATTTTGAAACGTAATTGTTTTAAAATTGTTTACACTCAGTTTGTTAAATTAACAGCTTGGCCATATTGCAGTTAAACTACTTCACATTTTTTTTCTGTACTTAAAAATGTTGTTGTTTTATTCGATTTAAAAGAATTTTCAAGAATTTTTCACTACCTCTAATTGCTAGAAATATCTCTCTGCAACGTGTAACAGACAGCGATATATCACAGTACTACTCTTAGTAGTAACAGCGTGAAACCTAGGTAAAAGGACAGTAATGAGGCACAAAGAATGTACTCCACTGTCACACTGTGCCGTTATTAAGTATTTGTACCAAGTGCCTTTTTTTTTTTTTTTTTTTTTTTTTTTATTTTTATTTACTATGTAGGGAAAATAATTAAAAAAGAATCCTGTGAAACAAAAATTTTTTTCTTGGCATAAAATTTCATGATTCGACAACCTACCAAACTAATCGATCAAACAGATAGTAATAAATGAAATTTTAATTAAACGTATATAAAATAACTGTTTTTTTTTTTTTTTTTTTTCAAGACATATGCGGCGCAAAAATTATCAAGTTTTCTGTGCTTCCGTGTAAGAAAAACTATGATCACGCAAAAAAGTATGATCTTTTCGGAATATTATGTGCCATTCCAAACAAAACTGTTTAATTTTGGCTTCTTCGTAGAGAAATCAGGATCATAATCATAATATAAATGGGTTTCGTGAAGTGAATGATTTTTTGCCTTTTCTCATTGTTTTAGAGTATTTCATGCTAAAAATCGAGAAAAAAAAAATCATTGAATTTCATAAGAATAATGTTATTCAGATTATATAATTTTTAAAAAATGTATGCGGGTGTGTATGGGTGTATATACGTATATAATTGATTGTAACTCTGGATTTCCTCGACTTATCATCATGAGCCTTGGCATATATTTTTATTTTTGTATACCTATAATAGCTAAAAAGTAATTTCTATTTTATCAGTTATTGTTTATTTGATTCTGCCAATTTTCAAAAATGGTGTAAAAAAATGAATTTTTTTTTTACTAATCACCGTATTAAGATATTTCATATTGTCAAATTTCGGGGATCGTTTCATTTTTTTTTTTGAAAAAATCTTATTGAGATAACATAAAAAAATACATATTGGTGTGTACGGGCACCTAAATATATACTTACACAATTAATTTAAAATTGTTATGAAGTATGTATAAAAAATAAAAATTAAAGTATGTCCGCAATTCGAGCGAAAAAAAAAAAACTATACAAGCTAGTACACTCGTACACATCGAGCACCAAGCATATCAGATAATGTAGGCAGATAGACAAGTACATTTGAAAAACCAAACTCCTCCTACCGAAGAAAAGAAAAGAAAAAAAAAAAAAAGTCTCTCAATCACCTCCAGCAAACTGGATCGGCAGAAAGGGTGGAAAAAAGAAAATCCTCGCAATTTGTCGGCTCGAAGAACGCGCTATTAAGATAGGCCCCCTGTACACCTATACCTCCGAGCGAAAAGACATTACAGCCTCGCTCTGCCTCCGGCTCTTTCTCTCTGGTATATGTATGTATATATACACTCACAAGATAAAGAAAGCCCGCGGGCGCTCTTTCCTCCAATTACCAAGGCAAATCACCGCTCCCCCTGTACCACTATCCTTGCCTCCGAATGTGTATGCATAGGAACAAATTGGAGCGACTTGTTTTTTTTTATATTTTATCCCTTACACGCTGCAACTGCACTGTATGCTTTGCGATACTCGACTGTTTCGATAAATAAAACCACGAGGGTCTGTAATATCGGCGACTGGGTCAGGGGAGGCCGAAATGCCCGAACCATGCTTTGAACCATTTTTTTTTTCTTTCCACATCTAGCGAAAGTTCATCCATCGTTTGTTTACCACCAGCCGTGACAAAAAGTCAGCGATTTAAGGTATACCCTTACTGGAGAGAGAGAGAGATAGAGTTCCTCCAATCTGATTACGTTTTCTCAAACGCTTCGACGGACGCTCGTCAAAGCAGAGAGTACGTCTCTGCACCCACCTATACATACATACATATATATATATACATATATATATACATATATATATATATATACGTGTACATCTCTCTTTTCTCTCGTCCTCCCATTATATATACTTTGCCTCACGTGCACGAACCATCAGCGGACGGATTTGCACAACCGCATCGCCAGCTCCGCGAGTCCTTTCACCTCGGCACTCTCTCTCTCTCTCTCTTTCCATGGCTCCAGAACCGACTCTCCCTTCCTTCCTTTTCTCCTCCTCGCGTGAGACTACCCGATACATAAACACCCGTCATCCTAAAGTACATCTCCATTGCGTATACACATATGTCATGCACGGGTTAAACCGCGGAGAGGGAAGAGAGACGCTCTTTTATGCACTTCCTTTACACTCGTGTACAATAGTAGGGACGCCCTTGTTGTGGTATACAGCCTTGATCCGCTTCTCTCTTTTGTTCCATCCCCAAAGTCACTTTGGACGTCTACGACTCCCTTTGTACGCGGACATAATTATTACACACGTGTGCTCAAGCCACCGAAATGGCACTTTCAAAATTGCTTGGTCACGTGTAAGTTTTACCGAGGGATACACCTGACGCGTTGCGCTTGTCGCCACAGCACCCGTGCACTCGAAACGGGAAAGTTGAGGGACACCCAAATTTGCTCGAGTATGGGATAGCCGGGTGGCTTTTACCCCGTTCGTCTCTCGCTAATAACAGATTTTTTTTTTGGGTGCGCTCGAGCGCAAGGGACCATTTAGTTTCGCCTGTATAATAATAATATACGTGGGTGAGTTTCATTATAGAATCTTTAAGTATACGATTCGTCGCGGTCGCTTTTTTTTGCCATTTGAGAGAACGCAACGCCAACACCCAGTTTTTATCGAAACTCATAATGGCCCATTCACCGCTTCGGAATGAATAATTTTATCGCGTGGCTGTCCTTCCCCTAGCAGGTATACATTTTTTATAGCGACAAAAGTGACGTTTTACATGTGTATCGTGTATATACATATACGTGTTTTGCCATTGCAGTGATCGATTTGAATGAACAATGCTCCATTATCATCCGCGCGGTGTTGAAAAGCTCCGCGAGTGCCATCAAGTGGACGCGGTCCGACTCGGTTGTCGAGCTCGTAATCGGCTTGAAATTGATGAAAACAAAGTTAACCGGGTCGTCGGAGGTTTTTTTTCTATCTTTTTCGCCCACGTGAGCGTAAGAAATTATTGAACGAAATAAGGCCATTTCGTGCTCCAGTGTCAAAGAGCGTGGGGGACTCTACACCGTAAAATATGAAAACACGTACACGTGTGGAGGGGGGGGGGAGGGGTGATTCGTGTTTACAATGCCGAGGCGGCTCGTTCGTGATTCTCATGGGAAAACGTACAATGAGCTATCGTTGCCCGCACATCTATACACACACACACACGCTTTCATATTTAATTTTCTTATCTCCCGGTGTACCTCATGCCTATATACTTATACCGCACGTTTTTTCTCGAT